CCTAACCTTTGGGTCCTGGGCCGGGGCCGGGGCCGGGCTCTGGTCAAGACTAGACTGGAGAAACTGTACTCATACAAGCCCCTCTGGACGCCCATGAAGGAGCCGAGGCAGCTGCACGCACATAATTTGGTCAGATTTTGGCTCTACCTGACTCTGAGCATTCTTTGCGCAAACTTTACAGTGAGATTGCACTTATGAAAACCAACCATTACACTCTTGTGCCTATCTTTAATTCCAAGGCAAATCTGGATCCTCAAGGACAACCACAAACAGCCAGCAAACATTCAAAGAAGTCAAAAGATGAAGATAAAATCCAAGAAGGTGTACAGCAAGATGGAACATTCAATTTGAAATCAAAGAGGAGAAGAAAACCCCCCAAATCACCAAATGCAGCTACTGTGGTGTTGCCCACTCCAAAATCACCACCTTTTCCACTTGTACTGCATATGCTGCTAAAAATCAACAGCAGATTCCTGCTGCCTCATGATCCGGTTCAAACATGCCTATACCTTTGTCTTCGAAACCATGATTGTATGTGACCCCCCAGTCACTTTGAAAATCAAATCAGGGCCTTCAACTCTCACTTTGAGTGATTATGATGTGGAATATTTGGAATCAGATGAGCACTCTCAGATAGTGACTGGGTCTTCTGACTCAGAATAACCCTCACATCTGGATGATTCTGACACCAACAAAGATGACTGTAATTTTGTAGAAGATAAAGACCTATGCCCTTTTTGAAATGCTCCCCTTGCCAAAAACCCTTTGATCAAGCTAGCCGATCTAAAGGCAATTCTCCTTGCCATGCCAAACATTCACAAAGGTATTGGGCGTCCATATGCAATGTCCCTGCCTGTAAGTGGTCATCTTATTGGTTATTATCTTGACCTTTCATATCACATATTGACTTTGTACATTGACTATTACTCTATCACTTAGTTCAGCCAAACAGGTATTTTTTGTGCTTTACATACTTCCAAGTGTGAAATCATACCATTGGGTGTCAGCAAGAGGTGGAAAACAACCATCAATTTCAAGGAATTGCCTAGGTATGCTAACCTCATGTTCTCCATGACCTATGCATTCCATCCTTTGGGCTCAAGTAACTCACTTTGACAGTTGTATTGAAAAACATTCAGATGTTCTGATCAAAATATTCAACAAAATCAACCCTTTGAAGATGCCAAGAACCAATTGATTGCTAAAGGACCTTGTATGGGGCAAATTGGTGCCCAATTGACCAATGTCAAAGTTGAACAACCTGGCTAGCAAGTTGATCTCTCTGGGTTCTTATGTTTAATTGGCTTCTGGTATGATGCATGTGTTTCAGTTATGGTTATGAAGGCCATGAAATCATTTTTGAGTCACTGGAGTCAGTATATATCAACAATATCACCTCCAAAGCACGTCTGACTTTTACAAGGACTACTCCCCTCCAGCCAGGAGTCTATCCATGTCAAGCACTCATTCCCAAAATTGTAAGCTGCTTGATAGCTGAAGATTTCAAGGAGATTCTGAGGTCCGGAAAACATTGGAAGCCAGCCGCACTTTTGGTGCGGTATTATTTCAATTACCCAATTATTCCAAACATGCAATTGTTGGAACTAAACCCTGCAAACAAGGTCCTAGCTTGTCTACACCTACCTTGAATGCACCATTGTCTCTTTGAGATCAATCATCTGTGGCACAAAACAGTGCACTTCAAATTCCAGGCAAACAAGTTGTATTGTAACAAATACCACATTTCACTGTGCCATTCATCAAGTTTCTATTCAACCGACCTCCACTTGGCAATTGCAGTTACCCTGCCATTGCTTCCATGCTTCTAAAAACTCCATAATAATGATATTTATGTGACAGTGCAATGTGACCTACTCAAAGAGCTTGTGTGGCACAAAGAAGAACATCAAATTTGGTCATCAACAACCCCTGGAATGAAGCCAGATATTAGGACTTGATGTACTACCAAATATTTTCTTTGCCTACGTAGGTTACATCATTGCCAGTGCTTTCAACTGTCCATTATTGTTTTCAACCCTATGGAGTCTAATGGCTTCTATTTTTCTCCTTACCATGCACCCCACAACAAAGATGTTGTGATTGTGCTCAAAGTTGTCAATGGGAATCATTTTGTCCGCATTGGGGTTGGTAGACTATTGGTTCCCTTTCACAGCACTTACCAGAAGACTCTCTCAATGTCATTTGGGACTACCCATATACCACAGTGGATTTTGAAGTAACGAGTCCAATTAGATATGTGGAACAATTGGAACAACTTTGATGAGTCCATGTAGTTTGTTTCTGTTTTGTGATGCTATCCAGTCTATTTTTTGTTCATTTTTGTTTCCTATTGTATGTGAGATTCATATGTCAGATCAGGCTATTGTCTCCCTGGCTGTTTGTGCTTGCCTTGCATGTTTGTCTCTTAACTTGACTATGCTGCTTGCCTTTGTTGTTTGTTCTCATTATGTATGCCATATGCCTATGAAAATATGCCATCTATGTGTTTATGCCATGCATCATTGATGCCCAAATCAGTCAGAGAATTCAAGGATCTACAAAGAATGACACAAAATGCTGAGAGGAGTGGCAGGGCAGGAGACAACCAGTACAAGGGAGAGAGAGGTAATGTTAGAAAGTTTGAAAGACTGATGTCCATGTTGCCTGCTTTCCTTCAAAAGGGGCAGGATGTCTGGTGTCCGGTCCAGGATGGGGTACCAGATATTGAAAACCAGGTGCTAAATAGTGGTATCCTTCAAGAATGAATATTGTTTTTTGAAATGTGCATTATGGCACAAGACCTGGTTTTGTTTTGGATCAAGTTTTGTTTCTCTGCTCAATTTGAGGATGCAAAGAATATAAAACCTTAAAAACACTTTGGTTGGTTTTGACCACTGTGGTGAGGACTTTTCCTCAAACAACGTGGCCAATCATTCTTGAATTAGCTGTATACCTTCCCCCCATGCATGTAAACTGCAGAGTTGGGGTAAATGAGATGAATGAGTAAAGATTTGATGGAGGTTAAATTTTGTAGTTGTATGGTTGAAGCACAGTTGGGAAGGACTGGCTCAAAACAGATTCTTTGCTCAGTCAAGGAAAACCAAAAATCATCAGGGGCAAAAGCCGGTTGGTGAACCAAAATAGTGACCTGGTGGTGTATGTGACAATGTGTTAAGCAATTCCAGACTCAACTGTGGGGTGCAAGAGATCCAAAACCAAATTGGGATTGTCTTCAATTAAAGAGACTGTGTCATGTTCATTTTTTGGGTGGTATTGTGGAGTGAAAATCAATTCTGATGTGATGAGAAGGATCAAAAGTTGAAATCCAGATGCAATGTAAATTATGAGTGCTTGATGATCATCTCAATCATGATGAGCTTTTTCTTGCAAATGAATGAGGTACTCTTGGACTTGAGTATCATGACCGGTTTTTCTTGTTGCTTATGGAGAGACCTTTTGTTTGATGAATTCTGTTCTTTTGTTGACATTCCGCTACGAAATGTTTTATCAGGTTTTGTCTCACTGTACAATTGTTTTTACGTCACCGGTCAATTATTCCGGACAATTGTATTTATTTTAATGTAGTTTGTAGATTGATGTCTTGAACTACATTGTGTCTCAAACTTCCTCACCTTGTATTTTGGGAACACCACGCCGTTGCCATTTCTAGATATCATCATCAAATCACTTCAACAAACAACTCTCAATGAGTTCCAGGTCAGCAGCAATCCAGTAAGTTATCAAGTTTCTCTTAAGTAATAAATCAGGATCCCTCTCCCTAAACCATAATGCTTACTCATCTCATCTCCACAGAATTCGAGCACCGAATTCGACTCAATCCCCTCGAATCCCACCTGGACTAGGTTCACCAATCTCTGAATTAGATCATAACAAGCGGAAGTCAGGTTAGTCTCTAGCTTTTTAATCATTTCATCGTACACTCTCTATTCCGGTTCTGAATTTTGTATAGATGAGGCTGATTCTTGGATGTATATGCTCTTTATGGCACATGTCGATGGCTTGGCATCAATCAGTAGATCACGAAAAGCCATCCTCCCGACAATCTATATGTAGAAATGTGCTTATCAATGGTAGCTGCAAGTTTGAGAAAGAGGGTACCTGTCGCCTCAGTCACCAGGTCTGTATACGTGATCTTCGACCACTTTCACCTTAGTCTGTGGAATTATCTTCCATTCAATCTATGAAGACTTTTAAGCTGATCCGTCTGGATCTGCCTTCGTCACCTGATCGCAATCAGCTTCCTGCACCTTCCAGCGGTCGACAATCAAGCCCTACTTCGCCTAGAAGATTTCCAATGACTCCTCCGAACCGGCCCTCTACAGCTACACCTTCTGGCTCGATCTCTACCGTCCTGACAACTTCTGCTCCTGTGTTCGTTCCTGGCAACGGTTTTGGACCAAGTCTCATCGCATCCAGCGCGAAAATGAAGCTCAACAAGTCCGCTGCCGAGTTTGCACCCTCAGGTATCTCCAGTAGCGATGGCGGTAACAGCAGTGCGATTGGTAGTGTGGATGACCTAAACCGTAGCAATCTACAAGCTTCGGCTGGGGAGTGGTACGGTCAGAATGAAATGCATCTGGTATGCTTCCCTCTAATCGTATTCTCATCATGACGCGCTGGGCGGTTCAACAGGCTGAACTGCTCGGCATCCCTTCAACTAAATGCCTTTTTTTTCGTGCTGTTGGAGATAGCCACCTCATATGTACAACCCATCAAGCACATCGGACCCTACATCTTCTTATCCTTCCGGTTCTTCCACTCTCTATCCAGCTGATGCCCGTTATAACCAATCTCCACGTAATCCATACGTATATGAGCCCGAACCTCATTCTCACCAGTCAAGTCATTCTTACGCTGATCGGGGATATGGTAGTCACGGCATGATGGCAGGTCCATCGCTATCAAATTTCCAGAGACCAGTGAGTACACCTGGTCAAACTTGAAAGAGAATCGCTCTCGCTGATCGCTACCCTTTATCATACCAAAAACAGCTCAACTACCATCTATATGCACCGCCTTTGCCTCACTCTTCAAATCAACATCCTCATCAGCTAGCCATCAATAGTTTCTTCTTGCCAGCTTCCATAAGGGAGACTTTGCAGAAAAGTTGGTACACAATTCTAAAGAGTGATGTGGTCGGGAGACATTACCTTGCTGATATCTCAATCTACGCATGACAAATCTAGAATCAGCCGCCATTCTTCAAGGGCCGACTTATGAAGTTGCACGGACACCAGAAGACTTAGGCGTATACCACTCTTTGGTCGTGATTGACGCCCCTCAGTCTACTACAACCTCTTCAAATTCTCACCCAACAACAAATTCAACACCTCATATCCCTGGGTCTTCTCCCATTTTTACACCATCTACATCCACAGTCACTTCGATAACCAGTCATCATTCCGCTCATATCAGTAAAGTCTTTTTGACCCCATCTTGGATATATAAAGCTTCATGTTCGTTGGATGGAAAAGCCTACTGTTTATTACGGATTGAAGGTGTTCACTTGAAACAAGGGCAAGGTGAAGTGGCGATTGGCCAAGTGGAGCGGTGGAGGAAAATCAGGCATCCTTCGATCGTCAATGTGCGCGAAGCATTCACAACTCGAGCCTTTGGTGACCATTGTACTTTTTTCCTACTTCTACCTCTTCTTCTTCTCGCTCCCTTTCGATCTTCTTCAACCTATCCTTATTATCCTCTGGAAATCCAGAAACGCATGTTTCTGAGACAGGCTCTCGAGCTCCGTGATCGGCAGCCGATCTCCCTCAGAGTTGATTGATAGAAAGAAGGGGTAATCCACTCTATTGCGTTACAGATCATTTGTCAACTGAAATCCTCTGTTTTTCTTTCAAATTCGTCGTGCCCGCTCCTTTGGAACAGCCATCATCTTCGCATTCGACTATCACCCTCTTAGTCAGAGTATACACGATGAATATCTATCCGGCAGGAAGAAATCCTCACTCTTCAGCCCCAGTCCGGCCGATCACCTCACCAAATCAAATACCACATCACGTTATCATCGCCACAGGCAAACTAATGGTAATGGTCGTGAGGGCCTGGTTGACGAGCGTGTACTTTGGTCATACATTGTTCAGGTGTGTGTCACTTGAAGCTGTATCGATAATTCCCTTCGCAAATTTGACCGGTTTGGTATTGATATTACATCGCAGATATCAAACGCAATCAGAATAGTACATAAAGCTCAACTCGCAGTTCGGACAATACATCCTACCAAGATCTTACTAACAGGAACCAATCGGTGGGTTTGTAGATGTGAAGGTTGCATTGAAAGTGACGAAATGACGCCCGGATACTGAATGTGGTCTCTGCCTGACTCGGATCGATTGATCGATGATGTTCGTCGAACGATTTTGAACCCCGTAAAACAGCGTACGGATCAATGGTTGCGGGATTCTCGATGTGATCGCCTATAGTCCAACTCCATCAGTAGCCGAGTTACAAGAACAAGATTTGATCGACCTTGGCAAGTTGATTTGCTCAATCGGATCTTCTATCGATTGTTCAAGTCCGAACGGTCACGTTTTAGTACAAGCAATCGAATACATGCAACAATTTTTCTCATCCGACTTGCACGAAGTCATCAAATATCTTTTGAAACCTCCGTCATCTGAACAGTCTATGAGCAGGTCAATCGAAGGCTTCATGCAACTCATCTGGAGCAAGACGTTGGATGAAGTCACAAACGTATTCAAGTTGAGGGCTTTTATCTTCTACGTTTTTTTTTACTCGAGACTGATGTAGTGCGGATTTTGATGATGTATGTGATGTGTAGCCATAATGATCTGATGGAGGAGTACTTGATGCGAGAGTTAGAAAACGGTAGACTGGTCAGACTGATGGCCAAGTTCGGATTTATCAATGAAAGACCTGAGTAAGTATCTTGATTGCCTTCTGTCCACTCCAAAGATCTTCATTAGATTGTAGATCAATCGCTTCGTGAACGATTATTATTCTGGAAGTCACTAACAAGTCATTTTTCCGTGATAGATTTGACCACGATCCAAATTGGTCCGAGACGTCTGAAAGATACGTACTGAAATTGTTCAGGGACTACGTATTTCATCAAGTTGATGCACAAGGAAAGCCTGTCACCGATCTGAGTCATGTACTCACGTGTTTGAATAAGTTGGACGCTGGATTAGATGAAAAGATTATGCTAGTCAGTCGGGATGAGCAAACTTGCGCCATTGTCAGTTATGCCGAAGTAGGTCGCCCCTTCTCAAGTTTATACTTTTCGATGATGTTTCACAGATGTGGCTTTGGTTCCTTCTTTAGATTCGTCGGATAGTTGATTTGGCCTTCCGGGATTTAAACAAGTAAAGCATAATAAATCTGACTGAGAGAAACTATTGTCGAAACCGTTGAAGTAGGCCTTTATCCCCAAAGGTTGCTTGAGCCATCAATTCCATTTTCTTTGAGTCTTTACCGTAATCTTTGATGGCAAGGACTGGGGGTGTGAGAGGGACGTCGTTACCTGTGCATTTTTGAACTCATTCATTTCTAATCGATGTCTTGTGTACACTGTTGTCAAATCCTCTCTCTCTCGCATACTTTCTCTCTTTTCCGTTTTCCTATTAACAAAGCAATTGAATGAGTATGAATGTTGATATCATAAGAGCTATACATTTTTTCTTTTCTTATCATAGGATTCTCTGACATGTGTTGTGTTTTTTTATATTATTCCATCTTTGATCACTTTGTAGAATGTTCTTTTGGGGTTGTTTATGGAAACCAAAGACTTTGAAGTAGTCAGTGTGTTTGTTCATGTATGGTGATGAGGGTGATGTGATATGCAAGAAGCGATTCAAACATCCAAATTCATTCGAGCTTATGGCTATATATCGACATGAATCTCTCAATCAGTACGCTACGGTTCACGACTTGAGGGAGATGTTTGTGCCGCCCCAATATCTACTAAATCAATTTGTGGCACGTTGATGACGAGTCACTTGTTTCAATAGATGTAGTTATTGAATTGATCCATCAAAGCAAGACCCGAATGTCGCTTTTTTCTCAATGCTGGCTCCCTGATCAGAGCGGTTCTTCAAATGACGTGCAAGCAAGTTGGTAACTGAAACAAGCCAAAGATCAAATAGCTCAGTTTGTCACGTTGTTTGTCATTTTGAAGAAGCTAGAGGCAGGAATGATTAAAGAGACGTTGAATTTGATTTTCATCATCATTCATTTTTCTTCAAATTGAAAGCATAATATTACAACATTTAACGATATCCATCGCATACAAAATAACTGCAATCTTACGATTCGCAAATCAAAATAGAAGGCATACAATGGTGAAAAGCTCAGAAAACCTTTCTTAAGGCATTCATTGGAAGCATAGTTTTTTTGGTGATTCTGTTCTGGGATGAGTCGTCCGAGCAGGAGAGATTAGGGGATTGGTTTATTGGGGACGATCAACGATGGTGACTTCTGATAAGTGTATCGAGAAAAAAATAGAAGACAGCAAAACAGATTTATTAGATTGTGATAATAGATTGGAACAAATTCAAGTCAGGAGATCGATTTGAAACCTACTTTGCATTGAATGACCACCGTTTGGAGGAGATGAACTAAAAGAACGTTGATTGACTTCTTGAATTCCTTCTTGAATTCTATTTTGAGAAGAAAAGACTGATAAGGAAATCTTTCATGAACGAATCATTTAAGATTTCAAAACTTAACTGGTCATGATTATTACCCCAAGAGAATTTACCAGCTCCATCTTTTTTGACACGAATCAAATTCGAAGAGTTTAAGATCGAAGAAGATTTAGGTTCTTGTTTGTTGGCTCTGTAGCTGAGTTTTTTAAAAAAGATAAATGATCTCAGATAACAAAGAATTGATGATAGGTGTCTTTCACTCAAAAGTCTCACCTTCGAGTCATGGTATCAAATTGGGGTTTTTAAAAGCTTTTTGGAGCTTTCCTTAACAAATTGATAAGATGGGAATTGGGTTTTGAGTGATATGAAGGTTGATGATAATGAGAAAGTGATGAGATGACTGACTTTATTTTCGTTGAAGATTCGGTTACCAGGTTTGGTAGGGTGTCACTTGATCGATGGAAGTGGTTCATGATGACATCATTTCATGTTGTAAACCTATCTTTAGCTTCTCTTCTCGTTTGATGACGACATTCTTCAGTTTAAAATTAAATCACACCATCATTAAAAAGATGAGATAGGCTGTTCTTCAATTTGGAAGCTTTACAACATATAACCCACTCGTGACCCAATCAATTCAAAGCATTTTTACCCACTCTGTACTTGTTCATATGGGTCCCTTTCAACCGAGTCTACAACTTCATACTTACCGACCATCTGAAAGGCAAGGAGAACCATATCTTTAATTATGTAACAGCCCAAATCTGCATTTTTCGATCAAATTGTATATATATTCTAGGAATTGCATTGATCACAAGGTAGAAGCTCTCGAGATACATCTCTCTCGCTCGTTAAAGTGATTTGAGTCATCCTGTAAAGGAAACCCAAGCACTACAAAGAGAAGAGGTCATCTGACGAATATTGATGATAGAACAGTCAAAATGACGTGTCTTTTCAGAGATTCCAGCTAGGAAAGCTCAGCACCTGGAACGGGCACCTGAAAACGTACACCATACGTAGGTAAGAGCATCCACTATCGTTGCTGTAAAGTTTTGAGTACTACATAGACCACGCCTTCCACAACGATTCATCTTGCCTCGCAGTTGTATTTGCGTGTGCCAAAGGTCACTTAGACTTTGGACTTCGACAAAATCTGATTGCACAACGAGATCAAGCGTGGCCCACTTCGCGGGCTTTGCGTAAAGACCTGATCGCCGAGAAGCCTTACCTGACTTTTTGACAATCCCACAGTATCACGACTCACACAACAACTTCTCACCACCTTTGACACTCACCGTCCACTTTTGAATCCCAGATCCTGGAGACTCGCAATCCGAAGCACCAATTCAAATCTTGCAGGAAATCACGCATCGCTTTTCCGCGCCCTCCTTCTCTGGGGTCATAACGCCAGAGCCATATGTGCCCTCAAGTCTCCGATCAGTCTCGATTTGAAGCTAGATCTGGATTGGCTGACTGCAATTTTGAGATATTTTCCTATCCTAGCATTGATTGGTCTCAATGCGCGACTCTGTGAGCTTATCAGGGGCCCGCGATATGGGTACGGGAAGCCTTGGCGCTTCTATCTAGAGTGCAGAGCCGTTGACACAGGCTTCTCCGCGCAAAGAAGTCTCTTGATCCGGAAAACATCAGACGCGATTCCAGAAGGAGAATCATTGGATCCTCAAGGCACACAACGACGCAGGTCATCCTCAGTGCGAGCCCCTGTCTATGTGATCTCTCTGACGTACAAAAAGACGATTTCAAGCAATCAGTTTTGGTCTATCAATTTCCTTTTATACTTTCCAGAGATCCATGTTTTCTTTAATTTGAGCTCTAGTCTATCTTTATATAACGTGATCCTCTCTGACGAACTTAAACATTTATTACATCGCATATCTCTTCAAGTACAGCATCCTTTCACTTTAGACTTCAACGCGACATGCTTCAACGAGTCTTATTTTCAATTTGTTCTCTCCTTCCTATAATTCATGCTCACGGAACCGACGCTCATCATCTTGAACACCGTAATGTTGCTACAGAGGTTATAACAGCTTGCAAAACATCTAAAACCTTTGCATTGACCTTTGATGATGGTCCATATATCTACGAGAACAAAATATCTGATTACTTGGTCAAGAACGGCATTCGTGGGACTTTTTTTATCAACGGTTACAATTTTGATTGTATCTACAATCAACAAATAGTTGACCAGTTGACCCACAGTTTGTTGTCTCTCAACTCCTTGTCTTTCGAACATACCGTCTCATTTCGCCATTGTTTCTACTTTTCACAGCTTTCAAGCAAGGTCATTTGATTGGCTCTCATAGTGAGTATACCTGACACTGCACTCTTCTTGCATAGCAATATCCTTGAGCGGTTCAAGTTCCTAACCAGTTTTTACTACAAATCAGCGTGGTCTCATCCTAATATCACTTTGTTGACGGCTACTCAATTAAATCGAGAACTTGAATTGGTAGAAACTGCAATGAAAAGTAAGTGATCATTTTTTTTGGCTTCGTGAACTTGAATCTCTCCAAAGAGTTTTCTTTCTACTATGGCTCTTTTTTGATTATTCTGCATCAGAAATTTTGGGAGTCGTGCCAAGATATTTTAGACCGCCTTATGGTAAGTATGAGATCTTTCATATCAGTTTATCTGGGCTTTTGATGATTAATCAATTACTTTCTCTCTTTACTTTGTTTAACATTCACAGGAGCCATCACGGAAGAAAACTTGATCGTTTTGAAGAAACGTGGTTACACTGTAGTGAACTGGAATCTTGATTCAGGTGATTCACTTGGTCTTACAGCAGCCGAATCTATGAAGGAATACGACCAGACTGCTCGCAAATACCCTCGTCCTCAAATTTCCCTTAATCATGAAACCAAACAACCTACAGCAGAAAGCGTGACGCCATATGCTGTTACTGCCTTGAAGAAGGCTGGATATCGGTTAGTCGACGTAGCAGAATGCTTGGGTCTTCCAAGTACTCCCGCACAGTTCTATCAATCGGTTGGGAAACCCCAGAAGCGCGACGTAAGTGCCCGCTTCAAGTCAATCCCATACCTCAGTAACATACACTGAAACTCTTGCATTTGGACTTCACAGAGCTCTTGGACTTGTGAGGGGACCCCAGTACCCGGAGCTCCGATTGTCTAAGTCCAAAACTCTTGTCATTTTGCGTTTTGGGTCGTTTGTATTTCATTGCATACTTTTAATCTTTGCTCGTACATCCTACACATCTGTCTTTTCTTTCAGAATGTTAAATTATTCTTTGTTGTTTTCTTGCATTACATATGTAGCTTCACGCTGTCTTTCATGATCCGGAAGGTTAATCAAATATATTCATTGATTGGTGTGCTGTTGCAATTCTACTGTTTCACATTGTGACTTAAGTTGACCTTTTACATTGATGGAGGTTATGACTGGTGGGCCCAAGGAAGAAATGCGCATCCATAGCCCGAAAGGGGACTTGTTGCAAGTTACCCTAGATTTTACGGTTTGAACATGGTTTAGACCAGAGATAACATTTATAAGGGGAATCTTAAAAATACTCCTCATCACAAAGACACATTGACTACTCACAATCCACAGCATTTCATGAAATGTATCACTTCTTGACTGTTGATCAATACAAAACATACCACCTAATCATATCAAAACTACCTGCATCATTGCTCAAAAAGAAAACAAACCAAGACAATAGATTTGGTAGCTATCTAATCAATTTGTTAAATAAATCGAAAAAATAAAAGAGAAAATAACATTAGCAAAAACAAAAGATGATCATGAAAGAGAAAAAAAATCAAAGCCATCAATCAATTATAACAAAGATATATAAATACAAGTCACAGGACCAAAGCTTGCAAAAAAACAAAAGAAAAGAAAAATGCATCAGGTAGAACAAATGAAGATGATGAATGCCAGTATAAAATCCCCCCAAAAAAAGAAATGGGAAACCGTAAGAAGAGAAAAAAAGATAAATCCAATGCACTAAACAAAGTGTCAAAGGTGTTGCAAAACTTGAAAAATAGATAATATAAAATGGATTCAGCTCAGGGGAATTCTTCTTGACCATCTCTGTTACTTAGAAGATATATATGATAAAAAACGTTCAGAGATTCTATAATGATAAGATTATGATCACAAACAAATCAAGAACCGTGTCCATAAGTTCTAGAGATTCGATCTGAAGTTCTTGAACCTACTGGGCTACCACCATCTACTGAAACATTTGAAGATGGCATTCGTCTAGCTAATCTTGATGCACTTGGCATCACATTTGTCTTCTTAGCGGGGACCGGTTTTTGTTGTTGAGCATTGACTGAATGCATAATGGAGATTTGAGTCTGTAAAAACTCAGTCGTTCCCGGCCTGAATTCCCAGAAAGATAGTAATCAGAAACAAACTCTATTTCATGATAATGAAAGTTGAGCTTGCCTTAGCCTTAGGATCCTCATGATCATTTCACTACTCGTAGGTTCTTGGTCTAACTTCTTCTCAGCTTTCCGTTTCCTGATCGTCCCCAGGTTTCGTTGTTGATAAACTGATTTGTTCCTTGTCACTAACTTGGTGGGCGCTAGACTCAAATGCTGTTGCATAGCTCGTACACATTCTTCCATGCTGTATATCAAATCCAGAGATCAAAGAAGGTCAAATTCAGGCTTGGAGGTCCGGGCATAGCTTTACAGGTAAAGGAAAGTTGGGGACTCACAGATGATCAGTATGTTGATCATAGAAAAAGCCGATCGACCAAATTTCCTTATATTTCTGATTATGCAATTCTTCAATCGGCATACCTTCGCCGTTTGCATGTAAGAAATTGGTAAGAAACTAAAAAAATGGCCAAGAAAGCAATCAACGGTTATATCCTGACGATGGCGATCATACAGGAAACCCTAACTTTAAGCCACTTCAAGACTACGTCTACTTCTTTCTCGCTCAATGGTCTCATATCTGTAGGTTGATCCGACAGCGGTGGTAAGAGTAGCCCGTCGATGATTGACAGGATCTCTTTCCATATTTTGCTCATGACCAGACGACCAGCTGAAGAGCATACATCAAGTTCAGTAACAATCAAAGGCTAATTAGGATGAGTCTGAAAGTAGAGGCTCTCACCAGTCTCACTGAGTGCATGCTTCAGTACGGACATGCACTGATCAAAGTACTCAAACAAGTCCGCAATCGCATTTTCGATATCTGAATCCGTCAATACTTTTGGTCCCTTACTCCTCATTGCTTCTGCACTAGAGGTTGACTCTGCCTTCATCGCTAACGCCAGCTCTTCCTTGGGTAATGGAATCTCTGGCTCTCGAGTCGAATTAGCTACCTGGCGCCAAAGACCAGCACCGTAGCTTGTCATCTTCGAGAGATCGATATCAATCTTCGTTGACATTTTCGACATATCAATCGATCGCATAAACCCTTGACTTGGTACCAACTTTCGTAAATTGGCGTGCGATAAGAAATACCGGATTACAGGCGAGATCTAAAAGTTGAGACGAAAACAGTCAAACTCCCTCATCCTATCTCTTATCTTTGCCTAGCACAGCGATATTTTCAAATCAATCATACTGACTTTGTCTACTATCATTCGTACCATATCTGTCTCAGCCCTTTTCAAAGAACGGAATGCTCGTCCGAAATAAAACTGAATATCATCCTTCTCACCCTCCATACTTACCCGCATCAAAACCTTTCCTTGTGTATCAAGATCAAGGAAAAGGTCATGGGCCAAGAAATCATCGAAAACTTTAGGATTGAGATGTAAGAATGCACGTCCTACTACCTCGTGCTTTTCCATTAGAGTTCGTTTATAAATCGTCGCAGCTAACCAAAGTGGACTTTTGACCGAGATATCAAAGGTCTCATTCCAACGAGGTGATGTGGTTTCATAAAGTGTACGTGTCTTTGCTATTCGGTTTCCTTTTTCATCACTCAAGGTCAAAAAGGGATCGATCTTATTCAATGATCCATCAGCCTTCACTAGACCTTCAGCCATCACGACCTTGACGGTAAAGAGAAAACCCGAGGCCTGCTTCTGGGGTCGATCATGCAGTTCGGGTTCGTATTCATGGATAATCCTTGCCACGTTATCAGCATCGATTGAGCTGTACATCTTGTCCAATAGCACTCTGGCTGCCTCGATGTTGTTCAGTTTCACACATGACTGAAGCGCATGAAGAACAATAAGTCACATGCTTTTACAACAAACAAAGAAATTTCTTTGAACTTACAGCTTCTTGGAAATTGAACGCATCAGGCTTCTTGTCGCCTTGTACAGCGAGTTTAGCGCGAGTCCATATTGCCGATCGATTCGCTTCGCGATCCGCATCCGTATTAGCCCTCGGGAACATCTCACTAACAAAAGCCTGTTCCATTGTCTGTGAATATTGCTCAATAGACTTGCTGATGGTCTAGAGTCCATAAATTATGCGGAAATAAACAAATGTCAAAATCTCAATAGTTTCTGAGATCTTATTGAAATACGAACCCGAGCTAGTCTAGTCATGAACTTGGCATTTTGATATTCATTAGGCCAATTCAGTTTTTGCACAAAGTCTACCGCTGATTTACAAGAGTCCATCAAATCAACAACGGAAGAGCTGTGCGAATCATTTCCTTCAGGTAAAAACTGTTTTTTTACGAAACATTGAAGAAGATCGTCAGTAGTTGAAACTAAGACAAATCAAAGAAGTGCTGATTCACCTTATCAGCATTGATTGCAGATTGCACCCAACCGGTAGTTTTAGCATCGACACTATCTAACCAGGATTGCATATAAGGCCCGAACCATTCATCTATCATGAGTGGCAATTCGGCACTAGTCCAGAATGATAGATCAATAGGAATTAGACACATTGGTATGAGTCAGATTGATTCGAATCCAATGGGCTCACTCAGGATTACACATATCATGCTTCTTCTTGATATCTAGAAGTGATCTATACAAGTCAAGAATATCAGCGTCATTCACATTAGACGAGGCTTGCGTGGCTTCCGCAGAGCCTCCGTCGTTTTTCTCATTTGTGGGATTTAGTTTTTGATGATTTTGAAGTGGTAAAGGAGGTGGTAAAAGCATTGCCTTCATAGCGTCCACATCTTCTACCAAGAGTTGACATAATCGGCCAAGGAAGATTTGGACTAGGTCGATCCGATCCAAGATAGGTTGCTTAAAACGTTTATTGAGTCGACTAGATGAGGAGTTCAACCAGCTTATCAATTCAAGAAAAGGTACGATATCATTAGGCCGTTCACGAGCGAAAAGCTCATTTGATTTGATTGTATACAATCGGTCATATAGTTGAGTCACAGCTTCAGTGAACTCAAGAAATCGTTGTTCAAGATCACTGATCATCTGGAATGGTTCTGATTCATAAACTAGCATCAAGGTATCGAGTATATTGGGAAGATCATCTGTTGGTTTGCCATCGACGGTTGATTGTGCGGCTTCATAAACTCTTCGTAGAAGGGTATCAAACAAGCTTGACATGGTTTTGATGATCATTCCTTTCTACACAGATTTAAACCAAAGTCAGGCTTTTCTCTGATAGAAGGTTAGAGATCAAGGGTCAAGGGGACCTACATCACGAATTGCCCATCGTTCTAAGGCGACTTCGTCGAGCAACTTGATCACATCATTCAAAGCTTCGATCACACATTCAATGATTGGAATTTCTTCATCTTCGAATCGCTTACAAATCGCATTAAAGAAGACCAAGATTTTAAAGGGAGACATCAGCCGCCACCGAGATCCACATTGCTCGAGTAATTCTAAATGACTTGTAGTTAAAATCTTCAATGAGACTTCTTCATTCTCATCCAAATCTGACATTGACTTTAAATCATAATCCAGACATTGGTCCATCAGCTTGATATAGTGACTGATAGGGTTAGGAGGTATGTATGTAAAGGACTGGTTAGATTGATTGGATCCGTCCTCAAATGTATCTTCAAGATCGACTTCTAAATCATAATCACCCTCACCGCCTAATTGTGGTGATTCCAAATCTAGTTGATGTCCCCAATCTACTATTTGAACCAAACTTTCATCCAGTGATACCCTTCCACTGATTGGATTGAACGCACCAGCACTTGAAACAGATTCAGGTCTTATGATTGGACTAGTCACAAACGAGTCACGATTACTAGACACAGCCGAATTATGACCGATCGCATGAGTTGGCGTACCTGCACCATCCCTTCCACTCACTACCACAAAATCATCACCCACTCCAGCGCTGCCACTCCCAGTATTTGTAGACGCAGCAGAGGCATTGTTACTTCCGTTTGTGGATTGAGTATGCACTAGCTCTGGATTATTCTTGATCATCTGTAACATTGTTTGCTGAAGTGCAGTAAGCTCACTCGTACGCCATTCTTGATATGCTTCATCTGAAGAGAAATCACGGCGTCGACCCGGAAATCGACATTGTTGAGAGATATTGGATATACATAATTTGAGATCCTCAATTGCTGCCTGTGCGAAAAAACGGTAGGAGAGAAAGCTGAATCAGATTCGACACTAAAGAATCTGTTACAATCATGATCATTCCGAGGTTAAAAGGATGTCTCAACTTTTTCTGTACAAATTTTTCTAATCGCATTGACATCTTTCTGAAGCTGAGCCTCTGATACGCCAAAGAGGAGACCAACCAAAAGGATTGATGACATGTCTTGAACACTATAGCTGACAGCCCAAGGAGATATAGAGGAAGTATCGGTCGAAGTAGATGGATGTGGAGATACGTTTGTTGCAATATGAAGTGACTGTCTATAGTCTGTTCGACCAAGAGCATGATGATCGAGATTGGGTGGGACGAGTTTAGAAGCATAACTATCGAGACGTGCGTTGAGTTCGGGTGAGACACCCTTTACATCTTTTGATCGAAGACAATCTCGGATGATAGTCACAAAGATTCCGACTTGAGAATTCAGATGAACCTTCCATTCGTCTCCATCTAATCGTTTCTTTAAGACAGTAGTGGCCGTAGTGACAAATGACAAAATCAACTCTTCAATTTTTCTGTTCTCCTTTAATTGCTTTAAGAAACCATCACTAGTGTATGTTCCATAGAAGACCCCAAAAGTCGAACGTAATAACATATCTTGATGATACTGATCAGTCCCCTTTGCGATTCTTTCGATTTTATCTCTAAGGACCTTGACCAGTTCCTTTGGGAATTTAGCACTTTTTCCATCTTTTGAGCCAGAAGCATCCTTGAAAACATCACCAATCGAGAAGAGTGCGTTTGTCCAAGTTTCAGCTTGATGTCGTAAATGTGGACGATGAAGTGAAGGTAATTTAGATGACGGTAAGTTAGGAGTATTGTGAGATGCTTCTTCTTGATGAGCTAAAGCTTGAGATCGAGCTGAAGCAAGATAAGAAATGTAAGCTACTCGAAGTGTGTATTGATAAAGTTGATCAAGATTAGTTGTAGTAGAATGATTAGAAGTAGCTGAATGAGTTGAGAGTCGACTGCGTTGTGACATTTTGAGATTCTATCTTCAATAAACTTGATCTTGGTCTACGTAAAGTGAAAGAAAGAAAGAAAGAAAAGAAAAGAAAAAGTTGAAAAATGGTTTTCAGTCGATTTAATCAAGTTAGTTCCTCGAATGCTTGCTGAAGTGAGACAGATTGACAGACCGTCTTACTTATGTATGTAATTCACTTGAGATTTATCTGTTCAAATTGGTTACACAATCACAGTATCAACCTTTTTACATATCCACTCAGCACTGGCACCCGCACCAGTGTATACATACACTTCTTTCTTTCAACTGATTCATCTCTCATTCTCTTCTGAGTTCTCTCATCTCTTCTTACCCCCCTTTGTGTTCACATTAACTCATCTTAGCACTCAAAACCAGACCAGAAGAGGACCCTGGAAAGCTCCTACCAATGTGTCTGACGAAAATTAGGACTTTTTTCGATTTTTTTCTGGAAAATTATCAAATTTTAGTCAAATTAGGACTTTTTTGGTCACAAGCCTCCCGGCCTCTCCCCCTGTTGAGCTGGGTTTTTTTTTAAAAACTTCCAAAATAGGACTTTTTTGGTCAGATACCTCAAAATTATGGAACCCGGACAAAAGCCCTGAAACCCGGACAAAAGCCCCGAGTAGCGGGTAAATACCCTGAGGGGCCCGGCCGAAGCCCGAGAAAGAAGCGTGATCTGTATGTATATTTCATTTTTGTCAGTTGCTGGACAGGAACTGGGCAGTCCACGCGCATATGTTAAAAAACTAGACATCTAAGCCTCATCTTCATCAGCTGGCTTAGTGGCCAGCTGATGTTGTCGTTCTTCCTCGTATTTTTTCACCAACTGCTCCATCTTGATAGATAAAAACATTTCTTGAATCACTGAAGGGACCGAATAACTCCCCTCTTGTCCAGGAACTGATGCAAAGTTTGAACCATCCGATGGTTTAAAGACATAGACAATATCAGCTGTATCGAGAAGGCTGAATGTCCAGCTATACGGGTATTGGGCAGAAGTAGCCATTGCAACAGGCCACGCTGGGTTGTAAGTCAGGACTTGCACACCCACGTGAGATAATTTTTTCCTTGATTTTGCACTTGTCACAAAGGCATGTTTTTTTGAAACATACTCATACACAATCACTGTGCGCAAGTCTGGCTCGCCGCGTAGAAAGAAGCGCGGAGCGGAGCGGAGCGCTGCGTTTGGACGGGACGCCCCGGCACCCGGGTAGCGGGGCGCCCCGGGCGCCCCGTTTCCCGTTACCAAATTCAGCCTGGGTTTATGCTGAGTTACGCTGACCGCCTATAATCCCGGTTCACCAACTTATCAACTACACTTCCCATAGCTTCCCACCGATGGACTTCGATCATAGTACACCATGCGACCACATTAAATTTCCGCCATCTCCATCACCATTTCCACCACCACCATCTCCATCACCATTTCCATCCAGATCTCTCACATCAACTTACGATCCCCACCTATTTCGAATATTCTACCCAGTACCCTCTGACCACCTATCAAAGGGCACAGACAACTGTATACTCATGTTGTGGACAAACCATAGTGTCAAAGGTACCCGCTTTTTGGGGTATAAAGGTAAGTCAGATTTCATCTTTCTCAAACTATCAATCACTTCCATCACAGTTGTTGACCGTCCTTTTTTTGTTTACTAGATACCTTTCTTTCACTCAATCCGATTCCCATCAACTGCTCTATTGCATACCTGAAAATGTCAAACAAACAACCCACCCTTGATTCCTTTGTAGCGTCTGGATATGAAACTGATGAGGCCCCTGCTCCATATTGTCGTTCCTCTCGTATTATCACCCCGGCCAGAAGACACCCTGCGATGATCACTCCCTCGTCTGACTCTCGACGAGCCCTTGGTGGATCAGGAGACCTCTTCTCGGTAAGAGATGTACGAGATGCACATGTGCATAGACGTCGAGAACGATCCGCGTCTTTACCGGGTGACGAAGTGACTCAACACCCTGCACGTGGCCGCCGATCAATGACGGTCTCACGTCCATCTTCCGCAGTAAGTCGAATCCAATTTGAGCTGGTCCCAGTGTTGGTATCCTGTTTAAATATTGATTGGTCTATTTTGTTACATTTAATACTTAGATTACAGGAACCTTCAGCCAAGCAACTGCAGTGTTGGACACCGGTGCCGAGATCGATCATGATCAAGAACCACCTGAGGTAAGTTTCATGATTACAACAACAAACATGCCTTCGGATGTACTGATTGAACATGTTTTATTGCATTTGTCCATAGGAACCTTTGGGCACTCCTCACGTGGACTTGGCCCAGGATTCTGATGAAGATAACACTCGTCTCAGGAAGCGAAAGAGGAATCAGCCTGAGGTAAAAGAATTCGATTGTGAATTCGCCTATTTTGAGCCACCCACTCATGAACGTCAAGATGTGGGTTTTGATTTTTTTATTCATTTTCACTTCAATCTATTTCAATTTCTTGTTTTTATTATTCTTTTAAACTCATATTGAATCTCATCATCTCATCATTTAGCCACTTGACCGTCCAGGGTTATCGTACAAGTGCATCGGGTGCAAGAAGGTGGTTCGAGTGAGTGCAAGTTCACGTCGATCCAATCTCAAAGGCCATCAAGATGGACACAAGCAACCTGGCAAATCTGGAGCCGGCTGTCCTCGCCGTCAACAGATGATCGCGCGAGGAGCCAAGCTTCCTCCAACTGTATCCGAACTATGTGCTGCACGTCTTAGAGATGAGAACCAGTCATCTCTAACCTCCTTTGTTGAATCACCTCCTGCCTTTTCGAACAAGACCCTCAACCAATGCCTAGCAGTTTGGCAAGTCACCCACGCGTTGCCCTTCATACGGATCAAAGACCCAATTCTCAAGTCAATCATATATTGGCTACGACCCGACTTACGTATGTTTGGTCGGAAGTGGTCAGCTGAAGAGTCTAAGCGTCTATACCTTTCTCTTCGGGATTTAGTGATTGAAAAAGAACTAAAGGTATGTCTCTTCCCTCTCTTTTGCTTTTTACTATAATTCATCTTTACTTTCAAATCATGACTGACTCACTCTTCATCTTTGAACTTTTCAGGAAATGAGCAGCAAGTTTTGTCTGATTCAAGACGTTTGGACAGTTAAGGGCAACCTTCATGCCTTCATCGGTGCCTCAATATCCTATATCAAGAACGACTGGACCTATGTGGTCCGCCATTTGAGTATGAAATTGGTGGCTTGGCATCACAAGGGTACTCTTCTGGCTGAGCCGATGGTGGCAATATTGAAGAAGAATAATTTGTACCAAAAGATGAGTTTTTTCATTTTACTTTCTTTGTATTCTATTTCTTATACTGACATGTTTTCCAATCTTACATGCTTGCCATGTGCTCTGATTCAGGTAGCAATAACTTCACCATGGCATGCGAGATGCATCAGCAGCTCGAGGAGGAAAGTATAATTCAAGACCATCAGCTGTCGTGGGAACCCAATTCCATGTCGATACGCTGTTTTTGCCACAAGTTGGGATTAATTGTTAAGGCAGGTATCGATGCTCTAGGAATGAAACCTCACCGCATCCGCCATTCGACTTTAGGTAGGTTTCCGGTCATTCAAAGATTGGCTAGTATTGAAGAGCAAGACGAATTAGACGGAGCGGTCATAGAAG